ATATCTTTCCTACCTCCACCGATGTCCTGATGATGACAATGAGGGACAAAGGCAGACTTTTTGCAGACCTCTTCGTAAAACTTCCAAAAATATGTATGTGAATGAGCCCCGGGAGCTTTTCGAATAGCTGAAAATGATGAATTCCTTAACCCTTCCATTAGAGCAGCAAACCACGAAGTTTCAATAGCGTGTTACTTTTTTGGTAAATCTTAAAACAGAATGGTAAATCAACAGAATACTCGTACTTGAATAACCTTTGTGATAGAAAAGTCTCCAGTTTTCTTTTTTCCCACTTTTGTTTCCTTTTACTGATTTCTATGAACGTTTCATGCTTCTTTCGCCTATTTTGCGAGACCACGGTTTTTCTTATGTTTTCCTTTGAAAATTTGCGCGGGAAATTGACGCGCGGCCGGCCAGAAATGATCACCTCGCGCATGCTTGACGTACGACCGCTGTGAAAACGGCGGAAATGTGAGGCTTCCTCTCAACAACAATGGTTCTTTCGAAACAAGCACGACCTACTTGAACTTATATAATGATAATTAATAATGATAATAAGAATTATATAATAATAATAGGATAGTATGGGGATAATAATAATAATATTAATATGGCGCGATTTCCATGATGTCCAATCGCGCTTTACAATGTACAGTACATAAATCCGATTAAAGTGTAAAACATCAGGGAAAATTAAATTTACAAGCTTAAGGAAAACTGCTAATAGGTAAAATGTCTAATAAGTCAGAAAATGATATAATATTATAATTGTAATGCTAAAAAAATTAACCACTAAGATAAGTGTGTCCTTAACTCAGCTAGTTCTTCTCTCATCAATTGTGATAATCGGCCTCTCAATAAGTTAGCCATGGTGAATCAGTGAAATCTGATCACAAACAAATAAAAAATGTTAGAATTTCACATACCAATTCTAAATAAATGGAGAACGCTCATCTGTCTGTCTTTCGGTCAGATTAGCTGACTGACTGACTGCCTGGGGGCTGACTGACTGACTGACGAGCTGACAGACTGACTGACAGACTGACTGACTGACTAACGGGCTGACTGAGTGGTTAAATAGCTGACTGATTCTTCGCCTGACTTTCCTCTGGTTCTCCAGCTCGCCCGTCTGTCCATCCATCCACGAATTCATCCAATTTGTTTTTGTCCGTCGGTACCATCCTTTTTCCGTTTGTTTGTTTCATCAGTTTGCCTGTTTCTTCGTTCACGCAGTTCTTCGTCCATCTGGTCCTTCGATCGCTCATTTTTTGTTTGTTTGTTTTCTTTGTTTGTTCGTTGATTGATTTGTTCGTTTATTCGTTTGTTTGTTCGTCCAGTTTGTGCTTTCGTCCGCGCGTTTATTAATTCATTCTTCCAACACTGGAAAACTGTACATGTTGATCAATTGGTTGACGGTGATTTTGAAGGACACGCACACGTTGTTTATTGTCAGTAACGCGTTTTCTTTTGCTAAATACAAAGGGAAAATCTTGTGACTCAGGAATAACGCCTTACAGAATTTTGACCACTGCAATTGTTATTTTACGCCAATGCTTGGTTCTCCTCTAGTGATCTTTGCAACCTTCATTTGCATTTGACTATCTTTTCTTGTACTGGTTCCATAGCAGCATACGAGTGCGAATGAATAGATCACTAATCCTTTTTTTGTCTCAATTGTGATTTATCTTATGCGTGACAAAAAGTTTAGGCCAACGTTCTTCTGGCCCGAAAAACGTTACTACCCAACGAGCTTTCGTTGGACAGGATTGCATGACCAGTCAAATGAGACGTGGGATATGTACATAAGATGAATTTAGGCTCTCTCCAAAAAGAAACAAAAAAAAGAAAAAAATTCCGTTTTAGACCATTTTGCAGAATAACAAGCGTCCAAATAAACCATACTGTTGCATTATAGAGGAGTTTTTCATGTTTGAACAATCGCCATCGAAGCGACTGAAGCGGAGAGAACAATAATAAATAAACGTGAAAGTTGGGCACATAATGCAGACAAAGCTGCCCTTCTAAATCAGACTACGAACACAGAAGATCATTAAGGATAACGTCCAGTTGTAATCGATATGATATATCGTTTGTAAAGGCATTGTTAAATGGTGAGAACAGGGCAAATGCTTCGAATTGAAATCTCTACTATTACATAACTAGTTTTGAAGATGAGACTAAAAAAACTCAGACATTTTTCCATTGGGAATGAATTAAAATATTAAGGACGTGTCATGATAGCACATGGAGAGAGAGCAGATTTTTTTAGCTCGTTTCAATTAGATTGCTGAAGAATTAAGCTGCTCACGTGCCGCTCTCGGGGAAAGAATTACGTTATAATTGCCCCCTCCAAGAGAGAGGATTTTCGACCATGCCTGTTGAGAAAACTTGAAGGGCATTTGCCCGTTCTAGGGCCTGTTACCATGGATGTGGGGGACGTCAGGTAGGTAAGGTTACCCACCCAGCCGTGGTAGAAAATAGCCCGTGTCTACATTCAATCTTACAACCCCAGGATCCAGGGGTAAGGTTGTTGGCGCGCTGGTGAGGTAACCCGCTTCGATGAGGTAACCCGCTTGTTCATATTTCATCTTGATCAAGTTTACGTGATAGGTGGGGTGACCTGCTCCGCTCCCGCTTCCCAGACCCCGTTTTCTTCTTTTACCCTTCCACGCAGTCCCCTTCCACCCAGTCACCCTCCACTGAAAACGGGCAAATACCCTCCAAGTTTTCACAACACTCTCTCCTGGATGACAATGGTAACGTGTCACTGTCTCAGTGTGACAAACGTGACTATCCCAATATCGATCCCAACACGTTCTTTCCCCAAAGCGAGGCCAAAGAGTCAGTAAATCTTTCCCCGAGAACGAAGGAAGCATCGATACGGTGTGGTTTGAGGCTTGCTCAGGTACGATGGATTTTGAACACTTATTTATTAATGTACTGTATAGATATGAGGAGAAATGCCAATTATCTACCTTGATTTAGCCGAAGTCAACAACGTAGTAACAGTGCACAGCACAGTAGCAGGTCGTTCTTTTGTTTGGGAATGTGCAATTTCTCAAGTTCAACACAGGCCTTCAGAAAACACAAAACAAAAAACGCGAAGGATTTCTTGATATTCTAAAACAAGATCGTAGTAAGAAAGGAAATCTATCGTCTTCGCCATTGTTTTCTTTATTTAAGAGAACAGGCCATCTTTATTTAAGAGCTGTATGCGTTTTAAAGATCAATGAAATAAATAGGGGGCTGTGTGGAAATCTTGCCTGTATCTTTTATAGGCTCGAAATTTTAGCGGACTATGCACTTAGATCAGTCATCCTCGGGCACACGTAACCCGTCGGGCACACTTTGTCGCACGAAATGTTTTTCACGCCTGCACTGAAATGGTAAGATCTTACAACAACGGTTGTTGATAGTAGATGTTTTCAAATTTTGTGTTGTATCCATCTCAGCTTCTTGTAAAATCGATTTGTAACGAGCTAAACAAATTCGACTCTCTCTTCATGTGCAATCGTGACACGACTTTGATATTTAAATTCATTCGCGAAGGAAAAATGTCTGATATTTTTCATCTCGTCTTCAAAATTAGTGATAGTTAAGAGGTCAATTCAACGCAGATGGCCTGTTCTCACCATTGAACGACCCCTTTGCAAACAATGTATTATTTTAATAACAATTTGACGTTTTTCTTTACGATCTGCTGTGTAAATTTTGCTTGATTGAGAATGATTGTTTTGATTGCATAACACCCGCGTTAATTTATTATTGTTCTCTCCTCTTCAATCGTTTGAATTGCGATCCTCCAAACCTGAAAAAACGCCTCTATAATGCAATAATAATATATATGTAGTCGCTTAATATTGCTTCAACGGACTCGTTTCTTTCTTTCTCTTTATTTTTTGAGGGCCTGAAAATCAACTGAATTTGAAATTGTTTGCTGCGGTGATGGCTCATTTTTCTGGTCACGCAATCCTGTACGACAAAAGTTTGTTGTCGTGTTTTTTTTTTGAGACAGAAAAACATCGGCCTAAAATGTAACGTGTGAGATGAATCAGATTTGACGTACAAATGATTGGTGATCAATTCGATCGCACTTTAATGCTGCTATGATACCGAAAAAGGAAACAAAGGCGCAAGTGCACTAAAGCGAAACTGCTCAGTCAGGATCATGATTAAGTTGTGAATCGTCTCAGTTGAGGCAATGAATCCGAAATTAAGTTTTCTTTCCCTTGTCTGAGTGGTTTTATGGGTCATTTTATTGGATCGCATTCTACCAAAAGCTTCAAATGTTAGAGGAGGGGCTTGGTCAATTTTTCCATCAATTTCGCCTAATTGATTAAAGTGGCATAATTTCCATGCCTTGGGTGAGTCATGCGGATTGAAGCCGGACAAGTCAAGGAGGCTAGCTGTCAGCAAGTGTGATGAGCGACCTTTGTTCGATTGCAGTAAGAGACAAAATGTTTTCGCTTTTTTTTCGTTTGTTTCCAGCAGCACTTTTAATAAGTTAATCAACAGTTTTTCAACATTGTAAGAATAAATAAAACAGACTTTCAAAAGAATAAATAAGCGAGTAAACGCACAAACACACGAGCGAACAAAGAAACGAACGAGAGAAAGAGCGAACAACCAAAAAAACCAACAAACGAAATAACAAGCAACTGTCTAATGAACAAACGAATTAAAGGGGGAACGAACGAATGAAAGAGGGAATGAAAAAATGAAAAAAAGAATTAAAAAATTAACAAAAAAAAAGAAACAAATGAAATAACTAGATACCGAATGAAACAACGCCGGAACGAACAAATGAAAGAACGAACAAACAAAGAAAGGAACAAACGAAAAAAGTGGATGAATGAACCGACTGGCGGGCCGGAGAACCAGAGGAAAGTGAGAGTTCGTCAACCACTCAGTCAGTCAGACTGAAAGACTGGAAGACATAAAGATGAACGTTCTCCATTTACTTAGTTTTCTTATGAGAAATTCTTACATCATGGATTTCTCTTTATTAGATCTCAATGATTCATCATGGCTAAAATATGGAGAGGCCGGTTACCGCCATTAATGAGAGAAGCACTGGCTGAGTTCATGGCAACATTTATCTTAGTGGTTAGTATTGGTAATATCAACGTTATTTGTATATTAAATAATTCTATTGATCAATTATACATTTTGCCTTTTACACATTTTCTTTAAGCTTCTAAATATAATTTTTCCTCAATGTTTTATATTTTAATAGAATTTATGTAATATCATGATATACAATTGTAAAGCGCGATTGGATATAAGTGAAAACGAAATCGCGTTATATTATTGTCGTTATTATGTTAAAGAGCAAGTAGGTCGTTTTCCTCTGGAATCAAATTTGTTAGGTTGGTTGGGTTTTTCTGGGCTGTATTGCAAATAAAACACTTTAGACTGATTTTGTTGATCGGGTTGAAACGGTCGATAAAGTACGAGTAAAGACCACTGTCGTTTTCGCGGGCTTAATGTAGTCAAGCGCAGGCTTTAGTTGCCAGCCACGTTCCTTGATGTGGACTGTGACAAAATGGTGATTAACTCGTGCCCTTTCAATTAACACGCTAGTGAGGGAAAAAATTTAAAGGGTGCAAATCGGCGAATAAGTAATTGGTAATAATCAACCTGAGGTCGCCCTCAGCAGGTACTGCGTATCAACTCTTTAACCTCCATGAGTAACTAAGACAGTCTATCCTTACAATATGATTTAAACAAGTGATGAGGATAAATAAAGATATAAATTTGGGGATTATTAGTTAGCCCAATACCAAATTCTCCGATTTAACATCATAAAAATTTTATAGCAGACATAAAGGAGAATTACTAAAGAGATCTTGCAAGTGAAAGGATTTAGACCAAAGTTCTTTGCTTGTTTGTTTTGGTTTCATTTGATTACGAATTATGAGAAAATACTACGGTAAATTGTACTTTATTCCTTTGACAACTTTATCCTCTCTAATTTCCTAGTCCTTTGGCCTTGGCTCCGTAGCTCAATTTACTCTGAGTCGCAGTCAACTTGGAACCTTCTTCTCGGTAAATTTCAGCTGGGGAGTTGCAGTCACGATGGGTTGTTACTGGGCTGGGGGAATATCAGGTGAGTATGTTTTCACGGTACAGAACCAATAGTGTTTCCAAAATTATCTTTTAATGTTTTTCCAAATTAATTTAAAGAAGATGCGCCGCAATAATGTTTTAAAGGTTGAAAGAGGGTGGAGGGAATTCATTATGCGAACTAAAGGTAAATGAATACAAATACATCTGCTATTTATTGCATCTTTCCTCGATTAAGGTGCACATATGAATCCCGCTGTGACCCTGGCCCTTGCTGTGGTGCGGCGATTGAAGTGGACCAAAGTTCCTGCATACTGCCTCGCTCAGCTGCTTGGAGCCTTCTTTGCGTCAACTGTTGTTTACGGAATTTACCGTGGTGAGAATAAATTTGTCTTCTTGTCATTAACTAGAAGATTTTTAACTATCACAATGCTATCATTATCATTTAAAATATTTACAATGGAAAGCTAGTAGGAGGTACGGTGGCCTGATGTTCAGTGTGCGAGGATCTGGGCTCTGTGTGGTGTTGTTGAAGAAAACAGTGAACATTCACAGTGCCTCTTCATACCCAGGGAAGCCCGATCAAATAAATTCTTGGGGTTAGGGTTGCGATGGACTTGCATCCCATCCAGGGACCGTTAGTTGACCTCAAGGGGGAATAGTGATACTTCGCTTCATGCTAGGGAAACCGGGATAAGATCCAGTTGAATGGACCAAGTCAATTAGAGAATTTTTAAAATGGAAAGCTAGACGCATTTCCCAAATCGTTAAATGGTGGAAGAAGTGCTTGAAAAAGGGGCCTGTTACTTTCGAGCGTCTTACAAGCGATCGTGGACACGCACGAGATGAACGCAAATCACGAGTCATGCTTCTCTTCTCGCGCGTGATTCACACTTTGTGCTCACATCACGGTTATCTCCACTGGCCTGAAAAACGCAAAAACATGGCGCCTGTTTGCTTGCTGTAGAAAAGTAACTTTGTTGAGCTCATGCGACTTTATGAAAGGTTTTTAGTTTGGGTGATCATGAGTCGCAGGTATCACTCGCATCCAGAATCATGAAAAGCATATGCGTTCACGTAATTTCTTTGAAATTGGAATATCCGTCTGGTAATAATTTTTGTGCACTTATTTGATGCTGGGAAAAGAAATTCTTTTGTCATTATTTTTTTTTCTGCGCATGAAACCAGATGCTCTTGACGCATTCGACGGTGGTATTCGTCAAGTGACAGGCCCCAACGCTACCGCAGGGGTCTTTGCAACGTATCCAAAGCCTTTCGTGACGACTGCAAATGGATTTGCTGACCAGGTAACAATTTGTTCTCGGGTCCCCCGAGCCTCTCCTAGATCGGCCACTGGATTCTATGTTGCGGTGGGTCTGTTCGGTAATTCATCACGGAAGGCGTCAAAATTTGGAAAGAACATCAGTAGGTGATCAGTGATAATGTCGGCAAAGCCTAGTTCGCCACTTTTTTTGTTCTTTCCGCATTTTGATAACATTTTGACACCGTATGTGATTTATATTACTGAACAGACACACGGTAACATGGTGTATTTGTTTAAAGACGCAAGGCAAGGTGAAATATATTATGGGATCTTTCTTTCCCCTTAAATCAAATGACTTTAATTGTTTATAGTTTTTTGGCACCGCTCTCCTTGTCAGCTGCATATTCGCTATCCTGGACCGCAACAACAATGCCCCCGACCAGGGAGTGGCACCGGTCATGATTGGTCTGGTCGTGTTTGTGATTGGCACCACTTTTGGATTAAACTGCGGTTACCCCATCAACCCCGCTAGGGATCTGGGGCCAAGAATTTTCACTGCAATGGCTGGATGGGGATCTGAAGTTTTTACGTAAGTCGTTTATGAAGTAAAATATCAATGGAGTTGTCAAATAGCATATTACATGTAAGAAGTCGTATAGTAACTAGGTATGCAGAAAAACAAGCAAAAAGATCTGTCGAGGCTGTATTTTAACCATGTGTTCAGAACGGGCCTTTTTTAGCGAAATTAATTTCCTATTCTAGAGGTAATACCAAAGACCATATGATCTCAAGAACTGCCTCAGTCTATTCTAACAATCTGCGACCTCAACCTCTTGTTCAAACGATTAAACTTGCAATTTTGCGATTAATATATGACATTGCAACGATCCGAGGATCTGAATTTGGTAGGATGGATGGAAATCACGTTTGTTGCTAAAACAACCATTTCCATATTCCGTTTCAGGGCATATAATAATTGGGCCTGGGTCCCAGTCATAGCATGTCCGTTAGGGGGAGTACTGGGTGCCATTGTCTACATCATAACCATTGAGTTTCATCACTCAGCATCTGCAGATACAGAACATCCCTATGAACCAATTTGTACAGCAGCCGCCAGGACAGAGCAGAATGAATCACTTTTATCCTGAACAACAATGACTTAGCAAGATGGTTTATCTTCATGACTAACTATATAACTATTTATGACATATTATCTCGTGTTCTCCCAACATCCCACGTGGTTTATCGGCCGGTAAACCGATAGAAAGTGTGGTTAAATAACATTTAAATAATATATGTATACTCTTCGCATAGTCTAATATCTCAAAGTTATACACCGAAGGCTCAGAGCATTTTGTTGATTATAACCCACACATTAATACCCAGAATAATTCTATTCTGTTAGCCTCTTAACGTCACGTGGTTCAAAATCACCGGACAAGTATTACGCAACAGCCCCCATCCAAGTCAATATTTGAACTCCTCCTATTACCATAAAAACAACAACAACAACAACGAAAACGAAAACGAAAAACAAAAAACAGAACTTGCGGAAAAAAAAAAGACTCAAGAGTTCCACTTTTTCATCTTTATTACTTTACATGGAAGGGAAAAGAACTCGTTTTGTAGATTCCAGTGATAGTGACATTAAAAAGCTTGTCTCAAGTGCTGCTCCGAAAAGTACAAAATTTGCTGCCAACGTGCGATACGAAATTGAATGTGAGGGTCATGGAATAGATAAACCCCCTTCTGGCTTGCTGGTATGTAGGCTGATAATGTCCTTTGTTGAGAGATTGTTCTCAAAATTTCACATTTCTCAGACAATATCTCAACCGCGGACATTATTAGCAGACACAATGGCCGCCTGAAAGGGTTTATTCACAAAATGATTATTTAACAAATAATCGAGGGGATTATTCAGTAATATTCACTGAGCCTGAGGCGAATAATTATTTCAGTATAAATACTCGGTGCTTTCTCTTGTAAATTCGTTTTCTTGTTGAAACCATTCTGTTACAATTGTTTTAATTACTTGTCTTGAAATAAGTAGCCAGTCTCCACTAGAATTTAACAGTTTTATCTAATTCAGTGAGTAGATAGATCATATCTTTCTTTCGAAAAGTGTTATACCAAGCTTAGTGGCGTCTTTTTTGCTATTTTCTTCTATCGCTTTCGTCACTTCCTCCGTAAACTGACAAAATGCGAGGCAGCCATTTTAAAATTTAGCACCCCTGCCGTAATCACCTCGCGCGAGGTGATTACAGCGAGATATTGCGCAATCCTAGACCAATCATGACATACCATTGTAATTATCTGTTTATGATCTGTTTGGCAACACAGCGCATCACAGTGTGCGTTGTTTATTTCGGTACGCCGCATAAATTTTACAAGCTAACATCTATCTTGTCTCGTCCAGGCCTCTCTCATTTCTTGCAGCTCAATGTCCACGGTGTCATGAACTTGTTCAACTTATCACTTAACCATGAAGCACTGCGCGCTCTATTTCCCGTTCAAAGGCACCTGTTGTCTAGGTGGTCTCACGGTACATCTGCGAAAGAGCTTTTTTTTCTATAGGTAGTAACAATACTTCCGTAAAAGTGGAAATTTGTCTGCGATGTAATATGACTGATTTCGATAAGCGTCGATTCGACTAATATCCCCTCATAGCGAAGGAAAACCTTTCTTCATTTTGATCGTAGCTTCGTAAAATCCATCATTGGGAGACGTTATGGATTGCAACCGATACAATGTGTTCTTGGCCATAGTTTTGGCGGATTTTTCACCGAGTATCACCCCACAAAAATCACAGTCGTCATCTCGACGACTTATTTCAAAGAGTTTCAATTTTACACTTGCATGTCAATGTATACACTTATGACTTCTTTTAAAACAAGCTTTTGACGATGATTTTCTAATTCGGTGTATTTTGACATTAAATTGTTCATAAACGTAACCACAAATTCTGCTAACATCTTTATTAAGGGTGTGTTTGTTGAGACTTCTAAGTTCAGACCTGGACACGAATGTTCCTCGACACCGCTATTTTCACACGTTCGGTTGTCTTTGTCAATCTTGTTGAACAGGCTTTGACCAGTTGTTATCCCGCTCGGATTATTTGGATACGACAGGGTGTGACGCAGGGTGGCGTACACGTCAAACGGTGTCGTCAGTAATTTTGAATTATGGATAAAATTCTTGTATAAATTTCGATACTTCTCAGTAAACCACTTTGGTACTGTAATGCACATGAAGGGAAGTCTCTCCTTTAGCTTTCCTTAGATTGATTTTCTCACGTCAGAAAACCTAGCTCCATGGTCTCCGAATATAATCAAGAGGGTACGATTGAGAAAGGACTCTTTTTCCATGGTTTGAAAAATTGTTTTTAAGTCATCATCGGTGTAACCAATAGTGTTCTTATCATCGTATGAGATCACCGAGTGTGTCACCAGTGAAAATTTTGGCCTGTCTTTGTAAGCACGACAGAAGCTCATCAGATACTCCAGTGAGATATTAAGGGAGGCACGGCCACCGATGTAATAACTTTTAGTGACATTTTCTGCCTCAGTCCAGAATGGTCTGGAATAATGATCTGTGGGCGGATCTTTGAAACAAATTAGACGATAACTGAATGATGCATAACGTGGAGAATCCTCGGAGAATAAAGTGTTATAACCTTGTTGTTTGAAATCTTTAAAAATCCACCTCCACTTATCAACTATGTCGGAGTCTCTCTCACTTCGTCTGGCTTCAGGCTGGTGCTTTTCAGCAATTCCAGTGAGCAATACACAAAGCTGAGCCGTCGTACCATCACCAACAATTGTCTCACCTGGAGAGACAAGTAGAAGTAGAAGTAGAAGGAGAAGTAAGAGAGAAAAGAAAGTTGTCAAGAAGAACCTGCTTGTGTGGAATTTTCCTTAAGGGACCAGACATACCACTTATTATTTATCACCTTGGTGGAAAGGTCTAAGGATCTTTTTTTTATGGGAGGGGGGATGGGGGCTGGATGGTTCTTAGGGGGAACAGTGGAGGATTCATAATTCGCAAGAGTTCACATAATCTTTATAGTATAAAGTTGGGACTAGAAAATTTACTGTTAATTAACTTCCAATAATGGGAATATTACGGAGCCTTTAGGGGATCAAGTGAATTATATTGTGACCGAACCAAATTCTTCAGCCTATTCCCCCCCCCCTCCCTTCCTGGTGACAGATAAAGACAGGTCCCTAAGCACTATAGAACTTCCTTCGGTGTGTCAGGTTTTGAACACGTCGACTTGTCAAGTTTAGAAGTGGTGTCATGTCCTTCCGGTTACCCTGCCGTAGAAAATTAACAAATCTTTTCCAAACTTGTTCAGAAATGCCCATTGATATAAACGTGGAAAACGCTTGTTGAGGTGAAAACAATATATATATTTTTGAAAAGAGTAGCTCTCTTTCTTTTATCGACTTTCCTGTTGAAAAGAAATTTGAAGAGATATTATAAGCAAAAATGCGAAGCGAATAACCAATCAAAGGAAATAAAAACGTTCACGACAAAAACGATAACCAACCTTGAAGTGTTGGGCATATTTCTCTGGACGTTAGCAGCAGATGTGGAATCAAATATGATCAAAGAAATATCAAGTGGAACACCACCAGTCTTCACCAGCTTTGATAAGACTTCCTCTTTAGGTATGATCTGCATATGTACATCACTCTTTACGTCACCGGACGTCGTTACAACATCGACTCGGACAAAATCGGTTTTAACTTTTGCTTTTCAAAAACCTCCCAACAAAAAAGAAAAACATTAAGAAACATTTGATCACATTATTGCCCTGCACGAATTGTGTGAATTGAATTTTGAATGCATATGTCATTTAATCCACCGTACCAACCCCCATCACCTTGCTTAGAACATGGCAGACATGCCTCTTACTAACAGAGTTCCAAGTCCGCTCTGTAAGTTGCGGACCGAGTAGAAAAAGCGCCGTTCTGTGACTCACAGTACTGACCAAGAAAACGAGGTTAACAAGATATTCACTATATCGATCTCTAAAGAGGTTCGTTAAGTTTGTTTGAGTGCAACTTAAGCAAACTTATGAGTTTAATGAGTCATTCGGAAAAATAAAAAGCACGTGCGAACTGGGAGATATAATTAAATAAATTGTAATTGTAAAGCTTCACCCGAAACGCTACGAGGAGCCTCAGCTTCATGACATCATTTACGAGCTGTGACGGTACCGCAAAATTAAAATGTGTACATCATACTTACCAGAGTTGGAAGCAGCTGCTTTACTTCGAAAAAGCCAGGACCACTGAAAACGACAAGAAAAGCAACAGTAGATTTATAAAGCTTGATCGGCCCTTTATTTCAAACCCCTACTAAGTGACTAGCGTCTAACCTCTCCTTACAGTATCACTTTGAATCAAACATTAAAGGTCATGAGAATAAAGGAGGTGATGACCAACTAAAGAAGCTCTCGATTGTCAAACAAATTCTCCTTGTCACTTACCTTGGGAAATGTGTAGATAAAAGCAGGGAGAAGATAAGTACTGATGTTAGGATGTTAAGGGTTGAGCTCGATAACAGGTAACATGAGATTATTTCATTACAACGATAGGAAAGTTTGATTTAACGTCTATGGATTGCAGCCTGTTTTGCACATCAGAATACAGCTGTTTGCAGGAAGGTTTTCGGAAAAGGCGCGTGCACGCGACATAGTAGGGCACTAAAGCTCTGTGGGTAATTGGGGTTTAAATTTGAGCTACTTACTAATAACTTTTATTAGGTTGATTCAGGAGCCATGACAAAAATGCAGGGCAGTTGAACGCTCCAAGTAATGGACGCTTTGTGCTACCAACAGAGCTGTGATGCCACAAGGGTTAATGTGAAAGGCGCCAACATGGCTGGCACGTTTTCTGGAGCTCTTCGCCTATCTACCATTTTTGGTGTTCTTTTCGTTTTGAATGCTGCCCAAGAATGCTACAATTGTCACTATAGGAGGGCTGAAAGTCCTTGGCTTTTCAAACATATTTTATCCAAGTTTACTACTCCTAAATTTAGAGTTCGCCGGCCGGTGGTGTTGTGGGGCGTCCATGGTCTAACCTTGCTTGCAGTACCGGAGAAATATATCACGCTAGATATCACTATAGATATGGACGTAGAGTCACAACCGGGTCCAGAGATAGACAGGAGTTTCGGAGGAGTTAATAAGAACTACCCGATGTTAATGCGAACTAAGCCAGCGTCTTTGAAATGCTCTGAACTCTTGTCTCTCCGAAACAAAGCTTTCAAGCCATCTCCGGCCGTTCTATCTCAGTTCAAGTCACTCGGCATTCTGAAATACCGTGGGCAACATAGTGCTCGAATCTCACGATCCATCTCAACCAAGAAAATCCCGGTGATGCAAGGCCGCCGTTTCATCAAGGCTGAAGGTCGGAAAGTGGATCGGAGTAACTTAATTAACATTCCGCGTGTCAACACAACCGACAAAACATCCACCTCTAAATCAAAGGGTTTCGCTGTCCCAAAATGTTTGTTTACGAACATTTGTGGTTTGTCGAAAACAAAAAATCGTGTACGAGCACCTGTGGCGCTTGAGGCTGACCTGAGATCTCAGGATATTGATGTGTGTATTGTCAGTGAAACTCATCTTTCCACTAATATGCCGGACGCCGTGGTGAATATCCCAAATTACAATGTGTTCAGGCGGGACAGAGGTTGGGCAGACTTGGACAAAAGGAAAAAAGGGGGTGTTGCGGTCTATGTGAGAGACAGTCTTAAAGTCTTGGATGTCTATCGGTCTAATTTATATGAATTTATTGCTTTAACAGTGCAGTTGCCGTCCGATCACATTATGCTAATTTGCGGCCTGTATAATCCTCCCAAGCATAGCTACCGGGATCTCGACTTAATTAATTATATAATATCTTTTGTGGACATTGTGTTGAACAAACACCCAGAAGTGGCTATTGTCTGTGGTGGCGATGTAAATCGTTTGGATATGCAAGAATTTAAGGTTTTGTCTGGCTGGGATTTCGTGGTTGATTTTCCCACGCGGGGTAACGCGTGCTTGGATAACTGTATGACCAACCGAGCGGATCTGTTCGGTCAAGCATATTCCATACATATGCTTATTAAGACAGACCATGAAGGCTTTGTTTTACCGGCGGGATTAAAGCTTAAACCTATGCGCCGCAAAGTTCTTGTGCGGGACTGTAGGGAACATCGGAAACAGTCATTTTATATGGCACTCACTGCGCTGGACTGGAGTGACGTCCTCAATGAGGTGGACATAAACAAGGCGGTCGAGGTGCTTGAGGTAAAGATTCGTGCAGTGATGAATAAGTTTATGCCGCAAAAATCTGTACGCATGTCATCGCGTGACCCAGTTTGGATGTCCCCATTAGTCAAGTGTATGCTGAGGAGTAAGTCCCATATATCTTCAAAGAATAAGGAACGCCTGTCTTTATTTAATAAGCGCATTTCTGAGCTGATAACCGAGAACAGAAGAAAACTGGCTGCCATTGGTAGCGGTGAGTGGTGGAAGGGCGTGGACGCCCTATCGCAGCGTCGCAGGTCATCGTTGATAAATTTGGACAAGAACTCTCTAGTTCGTCTGAACGACTACTTCGCCAACCTGTGCTATGATGACACTTACGTTAGACCTAGTGATATGGATATCCCGGACAGTGTAAAGCCCCCGAAAATATCTGAGCGGTGTGTCTGGAATACCTTAGTTCATGTAAAGAAAACCGCAACGGGACCAGACGACCTCCCGTACTGGATCTGGAAAGACTGTGCTGAGCTACTCACACCAATCGTCACTCACGTTTGGAATCTGTCGCTGTCTACTCATACATGGCCAGACTCCTGGAAAAGGGCAAATGTTAACCCTCTCCCCAAAGTGAATATGCCTATAGAGGACTCGGACTACCGTGGTATTAATGTTACTCCCGTTATTGCCCGGTTGTTTGAGAAGGTCGTGTATCGTACACAAGCACAGTCAGTCATTGAGAGCAACCTGAGCCACACCCAATTTGCATATAGACAGGCGGGTAGTTGCACAAATGCCTTGCTCGCTATCCAGCACCAGACATACAAGTATTTAGATAGTAGTGACTATAGCGCAGTGCGAATTTTTACCATGGACTTCAGTAAGGCTTTCGATTTTGTGAACCATGCTATTTTGTCTGCCAAACTGAAACAGCTACCTCTAAATCCGTACATTATCAATTGGTATCATAGTTTCCTCTATGCAAGACAACAGCGTGTTGTTAGTTATAATTTTTTAGGACAGTGGAAACTTGTCAATAGAGGAACCACACAAGGTAGTGTAAGCGGACCGTATCTTTTTAATATATTTTTGAACGATTTGGAGATTTTTTTTAATGGTTGCCCTGTGCTTTTTAAATATGCCGATGATTCCACTATTCTTTCGCCTATCACTAGGAATAGTGACCCGTCTGCCGACTTAGTAGGACAGTTCTTAACATGGTGTAAAGACAATAGAATGGTCTGCAACCCTTGCAAATGTAAAGAGCTGGTTGTTAGAAAGAAAAATCATAATGTACTCTACTCTCCAATTAATAATATTCCCCAATGTAATAGCTTCGTTTTATTAGGAGTAACTTTACAGAGTGATGGAAAATTTGATGAGCATGTAAGAACTAAGCTTGTCAAAGCAAACAAGTGTTTACACGTCCTACGAACATTGAGAAAGGAACATTACTCTCAGGCAGAGATTGATCATCTTTCTTTTTAAACAAACAAGACAGAAATATTTTGAAGAAACTAAAATCAACGGATTGCCACCCCCTGAAAGATATCATTCCTGTCCAAAAGACATATCTACACAATCTCAGGAAAAAAGGCTGCGCACGCCCGAAAATTAATACACAGCGCTTTATGAACACATTTGTAAATAGGTTGATATTTAAGCTCCATTTATTGTAATGATATACTTTTAATTCATAATATGTATGTAGATTTCTGTAGTTTTTTCAATTCATTGTAACATAAGATATGTAGTTTTATCTTATGATGGAATAAAGACTATTACAAGTTAGCCGGTGGGGTGAATTTAAACGGGTTCTTTGTTTCCCTTAGAGAGATCTGGTCGCATTCTGGAAACATTAAATAGGTCATAATTTGACCTATAGACAAGACAACGAGTGACGAATTCATTATATTTGGTACTGATAGCGCGCCGATAGGCACACAGATCTTGAAAAATGCCCCTGTGACTGATTTTGCAAGAAGACCTTCACAAGGGAGCCCCAAATTTCCTACAGCCGAGGAGAAGGAAAAGAATTCATCTTATCCATTGATTCTCAATTGAAAGATAGAGATTCCAATTCAAAATGTAACAATTTGTAATAATATTTATCTTAAGAAAGTTGCATCGTTGCGGAAGGGGACTAAGCCTTGCTAGACCCAGACCCAACAACATTCTTGGAGTTGCTCGGATCAGTCATTTTGAAAATGGCGGGTATTGTGGATGTCAGTGAGTAATGGGACATTTGATCGGAATTGTGTGACAATAAGAGTATTCCACGGTTTTTAGAGGTCTAATGGCTTTAATTCTCGCTAATAATTACCTTGAAGTTGTAGAAATTGTTGTAAATGATCGAAATGATCGCAGAAATGAGAACGTCGTGAAGTCGGAGTATGAGTCGGAACACAAGGAACAAGAGATGGAGGTGGACTCTGCCGGAGGTGAACAAGAAAGCGAACGCGTTCAGCAATCAAGCGAGGAAAATAACGTACCAGATGTATCAGAGGCGCATGTGACGCCGTGACGCTGGCGGTCGCCAGAAATGTACAAGTTCTTGGAGCGTCAGCAGTGAATTCCTCAGACGATTATTAAAAGAAGTCCTTGAAAACAACCACTAATGACATTTCTGCAAAAGATGAAGATACCAGGTCACCGATTAAATCACCCGAAAAGATGACGATGTAAGTTTTGCTCAGGCTGAGCTGCAATCAATAGATGCTAGTCTTGCGCTGCCGATCTTTGATGGCTACAGATTTTAGTAGAAAGCTGATTTTTACATGAACTGTCTGGAAAAACTTCATGCGGCTGTATACTATTCTTAATTAATTTTTGAATTTACAGTGTAGCTTTTACCTAGGTTGGTCTGTCTTTTTCTGATATGATGGCTGACTCAAGTGTGTGTGACATCATTTGAACTGTATAAGTGTAATTTTTCTTTTAGTCCCAAAGTTGTCCAATTTGGAATCGAAACAAAGTTTTCTCTTGATCGCATCGCTCTGCACTTCTGTTATTGACTCCGACTCTGTTGTAACTGAAAACCAATGTTTAGTTGGTGATCATTACCTTTACTCTTGTGACCTCAATGTGTGGTTCAGGGGTGATATTGTAAGGAGAAATTAGATGCTAGTCACTCTTGGAATTTGAAAGTAAAGTCCAATTATTACATCTCCAGGTTCAGCTTATCATGTTCTCAGTGCAGCTCAGAATCTGAGGGGGCCATCAACAGCTGTGAGAAAATTTGGGCAAAGCACCTCTAGTCAGAGGTTATTATCATGGAAATCATATATTCTACAAACATCTTTTCAAGATTCACAGGTACAGCTTGAAAATTGTATTTGCCACTTGTTAATACAGTAATATTTAGCTCATATTCTGATAATATAATCACCTTATATGGATCCGAAATACATTGTGCCAAGTTTTGTGAAGCTAAAAAATTTGACTTTATAAAGTTCCAGATATCCAAAAATTAAGGATTTAATAACAGGTTCATATCCAATGTGCTCTTATGGAGTAATTGTTAAATATTTAATCATCATGGCTTGTTAAGTTTTGTACCTTGACTGATGTAACTTTTGTAATTTAGTATTATGTACTAAATTGATAAAGTAAATTGGTCACCAGAATGCTGACATTTCGAGCATCAGCCCTTCATCAGAGCAATTAGAGGAATTGTGGGCTGTGTGTAGGTTTATATGCAGAAAATGGAGCTATGCTGGGATTATGGAGACAGGAAACAGGAAAACAGCCTCGTTGTTGGCTCTGCTGAATAAGTGTTTCTCCACCTGTGGGAAGATTTAAGAAGAGATTGAAAGAGGTGTGCTGTGGGTGTGGCTGACTGGTTTGGCTCAAGGCCTTAAATTTATTTGTTTGTGAAGAAACACTCGTATTGAAGTGGGTGTGGTGTGGACCTGCTTATACAGTAGTGTAGATGGAACACTTGTAGGAAAGAAAAATGTGTTTTGCCTCATATAAGTTGTACAGTAATTGTTTGTAACATTCTGAAAGCTGTCTTGTTTTGTGTCATCAGTCAATGAAAAAAAAAATGGTTAATGTTAGACTTTCTTGTGACAAAGATTTTTTGTCATTTAAGTGCTGTAGAATGAACAAACAGCTGCCTCTCCAAGTCAAGTGAGGGAAATCTGCACTTAAAAATATTAACTTTAAAAGTCAAAACTACTTGAAATGTCAGATTTAAAACTCTTAGCAGTGGCCAATTTACATTATCAACTCAGTTGATAAAATCAAAATTATCTTGTTAAACTCCCCCACAGTTTCTTTAGAAACTAACCCCTTTATTAGTAATAGTAATTTGTAGCCTTTCCACACAGTTTCAATGTTATGGGCATCTAACACTGTATTAGGTGAACATTAAAGGAAAGACAAATTCCCTTAGCAATTGCATCCATGTGAAAATGTAATTATTACAGGCATGCATGTAGGAAAGGAAGAATCAAAATATATGCATTTGTTTCAAAGTTATTGCATAATGTATTTTTTTTAAATTCATACAATTCTGGGGCATTGTTATCTTGCAGTTGATGCATGTTACAAAAATGTAGAAGGGAAATGCCTAGTTGCTTGAAGAGAGAGGTTGAATGGACACTCAAATTTACTTGGGGTTGCTTTTTCTTTTTGCAGACCTGGTGAAATTCTTGTTTGCAAACTTGAAGGAACTGGGAAAAAACACCTGGAGCTTATTTTGTCTCTCATTGTTTAACTCTTCCTGAAGGTAATTGTAATGACTGTATTAGAGAAAATGACAGATCTGTATAGGGTAAACTGTAATGTTATTTTCTTAATCATCTTTACTCAGGGAAAAAGTCGAATGCGAATTTCCTAAATTTTTTGAGGGGGTTTAATTGACTGGTATAGTTATCACTTTTGTGCATTGACTATATTCTAACAAAACCAATCCCAGAATGACAAATTAATGCCATCACCGTTGTGAGGGACATAATTATGTTATGTACAGTGTTCACATATGTGGGCAGTTAAATTTTTTTTTTTTTAAATGTGACTCTAAGTTTAGGCCCTTAATTCCTGTAGGTGGTTAACATGTACATGGTGTAAGTTCTCTTTGCAACAAACACATTACGCCAGACCCTATTTGCACAGACAATTTATAACACATCATCATGGCTTTCATTCTCTTTTGTTTCATACTGTTTGGTGTCTTGCACCAGTTTATCCTTTTATCAACTCATAATTGTATGTTTTCACTTCGCTCCTTCAAGAAATTCTCTCAAACAAGACATTTGGTAGGACTTTTTTATCTTGTGCAGTTCATTTGTCAAATGAATGTTTACCATATGTTGATTTTTGGCTTAATCTGAAGGCTAAACTCTGATGTAATTATGTTTATGTGTTAGATAAAAGTTTAGCCAGTGAGAGTAAATAAAGTCTTTGTTGATAGTGTCTCCCTCATTCAAAGATACATGACTGAATAAACAGGCAAAACTGGTGGGGAAAGTGCTAGAAACTCTTTAGGTGGCCAATTCACATTATCAACTCAGTTGATAAAACCATGCAAATTACATATCTTGCAATTCTCCCCAATGATGCAGCACCACAGTTTCTTCAGAAACTTACCTTCGCCATTTGTGTGTCTGTTAAATAGTCTAAAAGAGTGATGATCAATTTAACCCTTTCACTTTAAGATAATGAGATTAATACTCCTTCCCACATTCATCAACAGCTTCTTATGATGGAAAGTCTTAGAATTTATTGTCAACTATCAGCTGCTCGATAGTTTTTGTTATTCTGATTACCTGCCTGCTGTCTTAGTAATTTGAGTATTGTTTGGCCTCTTCTAAAAGTGAAAGGGCTACATGTATGCTAAGAAAGGTTTTTGAAATTAAAGTACATGTATAACCGAAATCATTAACCTTATCTTCATGCAAAATTGCTGTAAAATATGCAAGAGTTTGTTTGAACATGATGCCAAGAGAACAGAAGTATGTGCTTGTCATGATCTTAACATTAGTGTACCTCTCAGCCATAAGATTAAACATCCTGTCCAAAAGAAAGACATTCTTAAGCAGCTACATGAATCCAGCAATGAAAAAATTGTCTACCTTTGTGTGTGGTTATTTGGATGAACCCCACCTTAGCATGCAAAATGTTTGTCTCTTGTTTATTTTTTTTCTCCTAGACTTTGATATGGAATGACAGCAATGGAAACCAGCTGCAGAAACTACCCAACCAAGGAAAAGAGGTGTTAGATGTTCTTCCCTTTGCTGCTAATGGAAATGACTATTTGAGCAGAAATTAAGTGTTAACAAATGGATGAATGTACAAAAATTTATTGACAAATTTTGCATTGCTCTAAGTTAGTACCTATTTTTTATATACAAATGTGTTGTATTAAATAGTATATAACATGCAAGTAAAAAGTGGTTTTCTCACCCACTGATTGGCTAGTTTGGAAAAGAACAGCAAGTACTATTTAGCACCAAGTGACCAATGAGACAAAATTGCACATCAAGAATTTAATTTCTGACCATTTTTTGGTATACTAGAGAAATAAACTAATTTCTGGTATACAGTGTATGTGTGGAATATACTAAAACAATTTTTCACCTCAGCATTGGTGAAAGTGAATATTTATCTTACCGCTTTGGGGCATGGTGAATATCTACCAATATTCACCTCCACTTTGATGAATAATTGTTTATTAAAATAAATATCTTTAGTTGGTAAAATAATTTTCATACTATTTAATAAAATAATGAAGTAACGTATAATTTTAAAATAAGTGAATATTTTAACCTTACTGACAATTACTTTCTTCTTACTACTATAAAATGTTTCTTACTCCTTTTTAAAATATATTTGAATTTATTCTTTAACTCTTAACTTGCAATATTGGACTGAAAATGAAAAGTTAAGGTTAACTTAAATGAGGAAAAAAATTTTTTTAGTCAACTTAGTAAATTTCCATTAACTGGTAAAAGTCAAGTTTGATACGTTTTACATAAGTGTTTGAAAGGACAAAAAGGTACACACCTCAGTATGATAATCCTAATTTACTAACACAGGGAATAAATTCCATGTTGCTGTGGGTCTGTTCAGAAGTAGATCACAGATAATATCAAAATGTGGTCAGAACAAATAAGTGGCACACGAGGCACAGCTGAGTGTGTCACTGATGTTCTCACCACATTTTGACATTTTCTGTGATCTATTATTGCAAAGATCCATAGCAACACGAAATCTAACTGTTTTATGTAATAATATAGCAAAATGTTGCTATTGGTGATGTCATAGACCTGTCTGTCCTCGTATAGATCATAAGTAAAAAAAACATTTAGAATGCCTGACTGTATAATTTAACTTATCATATATAATAAGAATATTTGATAATAATATTATTCCATGAGTGCATATTGGACATGAGATGGCAAATAATTTTTAAATTAAATTTCATCAAATCCTGAAGATTTGGATCTTTGAAGCTTTTTTCAGCTCTACAAGTTGAGTGAAACAACCAGAAAACTCTTGCTTCATTTGGAGTTGAAAAGTTATTGTTTGATATTTGGTATTGGGTTACATTTATGAGTCAGTCAAGTACAACACAGAGCAGAGAATTCATAGTTAGCATTTTGAAGTGAAGCAAAGTGGTTCAAAAGTCTGAATCTAAATCCTCCCAAGAAGATTATAATATTTTCCTTAAAAATAAGATGTTCAGTTGATGAAAATACAGCAAGTTTCAAGCTACGAGACTTTAACTAATATAACTAACTTTTATCCTTCGATCTCAGTAATACTGGGTCATTTGTTTTGATCCAACTTCCTTTAAAGGAATGTTAAGCCTTCAGTTAACTTACACATTGCTGTTACTCTGGTAACTAGGGCTGAAAGTAAGAGGGAGGTTTTGACCGCATAGCATCAGGCCTATTTCTGATGGAGAATCACAAATGAGGTAAAAGCTAAAACAGACATTGCAGCAGTACTGGTTCTAGAAGTAAAGGATGCTGCCGACCAACCAAAGTTTGAAATCAGAAATGCTTTTAAGCCAGCTGTAAGATTAGACTCCACAGTACCCAACTAGAATAGAAGAGCCATGAACACAGCTTAGCTATAGACATACACAGATAAATATAGGGTTTCAACTGCATTAGCCAAATACGTACTGGATGTAAAGGGAATCATTATTGTATCACAAATACTGTAATTTCATTGGTTATGCTTTTGGCTACCAACAGTATCTATTCTAGGATAGACAAAAGAAAAAACCCAAACATGAGCCCCTCTTGTTAGTATTCTGATAGACCAGTGGAAAACTTAAACATTAAGATTGTTCGCTCTCCATTTTTGTGCATGATAGAAGCCTCTCTCTACTGATTATTTAATTAGAAAGAGGAAATGGACATCCTGGCTATGATGTATTCTGTTAAAGATCAGTAGTAATAGATTGTGCACCTCGCCTTTCTCCTATTCATAAATTTTGAGTATAGTTTTAGGTTGCGAAGAGCTCAACCTCTATTAACAATGTTTAAAATTCGTGAGAAGAAGGTTTTAAGTGAGCTTGTTTTGGAACGGTACAGAGTGTTAACAACATTTAAGGATGTACCTACACCGGTATACCACAACTTGATACTTATTTTCTTGATCCTGATTTAAAATTGTTATCGATATCGATATCGCAAATTTCCTCCTCCCAACTTAAATTCATAGTTTGGTCAAAGTAATTTAAGTCGACTACGGTAACTAGGTAGTTGTTGCACTTGATAAACTAGTGTTTTCTTGCAGTAAAAAAAATATTTCATGTTCAGTTCTATTTACTGTGACCAGTATATAATTTTCTGTTGAAACTACTGTGTTTAAATACAAAAAATACAGACAGATTTTGCCAATTACCTTTTCAAAATTTCGATTTACAAGTTTCTTATGTGATTACCCACCTCATTAGGAAAGAACCACTCTCCGGGTCATTTAGTGCAAGGCGGTCAACCACAACCTTGAGCCAGACTATTCATACTCCAGAGAAACGTCGAAAGCTAGACGTTCCCAGTGAATCCAATAAGAATTTTTATTATCCCAGTTCATAAAATTCCTGTCGTAAACATCGTTCAAGGACTCAGAGTATCTGATAATAAGCCGCCCGAAAATTTTCCGACACTATACATCGCTGCGAAACCACTCGTTATTACACCAAGTTCATTCTTCTTCAAGTAAAGGTTTCGTATTAAGGCCGGTATGGCGAATGTGTAAGACTTTCTATAAAAATAATAGAAGGAGTAGCCTAAAACTAGTGAGATGTAAACCATCCATGGAATTATTTAATAACGGCGAAAGTTAGAGTCCTTCAGAGTCGCCATGTTTTTTCATGTGACAGTGTTATTTTTGTCTCGCAGCTGTTTTGGGCTCGTCACGCAACTACGTATTGGCTTGTCACGTATTATGTGTCAGGCCAAAATGAGAGCGTTGAGGAGACCTGGGAACTCTCTCTTCATCTATATCAGGTAATCTTCCTCTGTCGAGCCTCTTTCGTCTGAATCGTTTCAGCTTCAATCCTTTTTAAATTTCCCTCCCGTTGATTATCTCCTGGGGAAAAGGGGATCGGATCTGATAAAGACTGGTCCCTAATATGCCAGCATAGAAGAAAAACCAGATCAAGTACAGAAAGTTAAGGCTTATACTATTTTGCGAAACGAAACGAAACGAAACGAAATCGGGTCAGATGAAATAAAACAAAAGGAATAATGCAGATATATTTTCAAATAAGGTAAAGATAACTTTCACAAGGATTTTGGAGTAATCGTTCATTAATAAGAAGGATTTTTATTCATTTCGCAAAATAGTAATTTTAGGAGAGTTACTATTTTGCGAAATGGACTATTTTCACTCTGCGGTGACAACGTGACCTCTTTCATGTCGCGAAAATACATTTAAACATTACAAATTAGTATATGACCGAACATTTTGGCCTCCTCTTATTTCTTAAACCGTATTAAAATATATTTCGCAAAATAGTAATTTTAGGAGAGTTACTATTTTGCGAAATGGACCATTTTGACCCCTGCGATGACAACGTGACCTCTTTCATGTCACAAAAATACATTTAAACATTACAGATTAGTATATCACCGTACATTTTGGCCTCCTCTTATTTCCTAAACCGTATTAAAATGTATTTCGCAAAATAATTTTAGGAGAGTTACTATTTTGCGAAATGGACCATTTTCACTCTGCGGTGACAACGTGACCTCTTTCATGTCGCGAAAATACATTTAAACATTACAAATTAGTATATAACCGAACATTTTGGCCTCCTCTTATTTCTTAAACCGTATTAAAATATATTTCGCAAAATAGTAATTTTAGAAGAGTTACTATTTTGCGAAATGGACCATTTTGACCCCTGCGATGACAACGTGACCTCTTTCATGTCACAAAAATACATTTAAACATTACAAATTAGTATATCACCGAACATTTTGGCCTCCTGTTACTTCTTAAACCGTATTAAAATGTATTTCGCAAAATAGTAATTTTAGGAGAGTTACTATTTTGCGAAATGGACTATTTTCACCCCTGCGGTGACAACGTGACCTCTTTCATGTCACAGACCACAGCTAATTAAAACACTTACGTACAAGGAAAGGTGAGACCTGTAAACCCAATCTGTCACGAGTCAGTTTTCTCAGGCGGCATTTAAATCATTTATGGTCCATTTTGCAAAACAGTAATTCTTCCAAAATTACTGCCTCGCGAAATAAACTTAGAAGACGTTTATATAGGTGAAGATAGCTTAGACCTTTTGAGATTTGATAGTGCTTTAAATTGAAACTTACCGAAAACCTATTGTACGACACGAGAATAACAACATCGTTACCGCTGAGTGAAAATAGCCTAGCTATTCCGCAAAACAGTAATTTTTCTGACATTACTACTTTGGGAAATTAATTATATCTGGATAGAGAAAGAGGAGGTGACCGAACCCTTCGAGAATATACTATAATGAAATGTTTAAGCGTATTTTTGTGACCCGAAAAGGAAGTTGTTGAGGGGTAAAAATAATCCATTTCGCAAAATAGTATCTCTCCTAAAATTACGATTTTGCGCAATAAATTTTGAAACGGTTTAAGAAATAAGAGGAGGCCAAGATGTCCGGTGATATACTAATTTGTAATGTTTAAATGTATTTTTGTGACATGAAAGAGGTCACGTTGTCACCGCAGGAGTGAAAATAGACCATTTCGCAAAATAGTAACTCTCCAAAAACTACTATTTTGTGAAATATATTTTAATACGGTTTAAGAAATGAGAGAAGGCCAAAATGTTCGGTGATATACTAATTTGTAATGTTTAGATGTATTTTCGTGACATGAAAGAGGTCACGTTGTCACCGCAGGGGTGAAAATAGTCCATTTCGCAAAATAGTAACTCTCCTTAAACTGCTATTTTGCGAAATACATTTTAATACGGTTTAAAAAATAACAGGAGGCCAAAATGTTCGGTGATATACTAATTTGTAATGTTTAAATGAATTTTTTATGACATGAAAGAGGTCACGTTGTCACCGCAGGGTGAAAATTGTCCATTTCGCAAAATAGTAACTCTCCTAAAATTACTATTTTGCGAAATACATTTTAATACGGTTTAAGAAATAAGAGGAGGCCAAAATGTTCGGTGATATACTAATTTGTAATGTTTAAATGTATTTTTGTGACATGATAGAGGTCACGTTGTCACCGCAGGGGTGAAAATGGTCCATTTCGCAAAATAGTAACTCTCCTAAAATTACTATTTTGCGAAATATGTTTTAATACGGTTTAAGAAATAAGAGGAGGCCAAAATGTTCGGTTATATACTAATTTGTAATGTTTAAATGTATTTTCGCGACATGAAAGAGGTCACGTTGTCACCGCAGAGTGAAAATAGTCCATTTCGCAAAATAGTAACTCTCCTAAAATTACTATTTTGCGAAATGAATAAAAATCCTTCTTATTAATGAACGATTACTCCAAAATCCTTGTGAAAGTTATCTTTACCTTATTTGAAAATATATCTGCATTATTCCTTTTGTTTTATTTCATCTGACCCGATTTCGTTTCGTTTCGTTTCGTTTCGTTTCGTTTCGTTTCGTTTCGCAAAATAGTATAAGCCGAAAGTTAACGAAGGTGAAAAAAAAGCTTCCAGTCAAGCTGTAACCTGACTGTTCATGGAATACAATATCTTTGGCGCACACGCTTAAAATTTATTTCTTACTCACACTGATCGTTGTAAAAGTTGTCAATGACTTTCATCAAGTGTTCTCGGAATCAACCTTGAAAATTCACATTTACCCTGAAACATCATTTTTCTTTCAATTTCAACGTTCCAGCGATTATTTGTTATCTGAAATATAGCTTCCTCTAGGGTATTCTGGGGTATTTACTTTGCGTGAAATCGTGTATTGAGATCTGAAGTGATAATTCGAAAACGTGATTTCCCCCTTTGTCAAGAAACTTGTCCTTCGAATTATTTGGGCAGGTGAAATCATTGTTTTTGCCATGAGCTTCATTCTTGTAATATTTGTTATGGTAAATTTTTTATTTTGGAGAGACAGGTAGAAAAAAATTGTTTGATAGGATTCAGGTTTTGAAGAAAAGAGCAAATTATGTTGTGTTTTACTTGACTCTTGCAGATTTGTATTGCTAAGACCCTGAGCCTTGTAATTCGCTTTTTCGAGCTGCATAACCGAAAATTTACTCAGCTGAAAGGTGCATTTTCCTGATGGAAAAATACAGATTGATGCATTGTTTGTCTGAAATAACCAAACCTTTCAGATCAAAGAAATTATTAACAAGCTTGTCATTTTTCACAAAGGTATTTGTTTTAGTCGAAGTCTTCCATTCGACGCCTCTTTAAACGCAATAACATCTCCAGAACTTTAACTATCTCATCACTAAACAAAATTTTACTTTGATGAAATAAACTCTATGGACAATGTGTAAAAGCAGGCACACTTGTATGAGTTGGTAATATCTGAGTTGAAAACAAGGCGCGTTAGTGGGACGAACCTTAAACAAACAATGTTCAAAGCTTTTCTCATTTTTTATTCAAGAAAGATCGCAAGCAGACTAATGATTAGTCAGCAAGTAAACAAAGAAATTAAAGATAATGCTGCGCAATTGTTATCTGTGTTAAACTTCAGAGGTCGGATCACGATCTTCTCATTGACCAACTCAAACTTGGACGTGGAGTTCATTGAGTTTTGTTTGAAGTGAAAGTCATCGGATAGCGAAGAAACTTCTTCGAGGGGTTTCTTTTCTTGATACTTCATAATCGTTAAATTCTTGTTTGCTTTGAAGAGAAGGTCAACAGAGCCTTGCTGAACAAATGAATTCAACCGGGAATCAAACTGCTCCTTTGACACCAGGAATGATTTGCAGCAATGAAGCAGAGCTTGTCTCGATGGCCACTGTGCAATTCTTATCATTCCTTGCAAATTTGGTGGCAGCGATAGCAATATGGAGGCTTCCAGGCCTAGAAGAAAACAAGTATCATCTTGTTGTCAGAACTCTGGTTGTCAGCGACCTCCTAATCCCAATCACAACGCTTCCATTCTCCATCATCTCCTTTGCAACCTGTTCGTGGATTGGAGGCGAGACTCTGTGCTCCATAACTGCGTTCATCTCCACCACGTTTCTAAGCTGGTCTTTTGTTATCGTGTTTATAATGTGCCTGCTCCGTTTCCTGGCAGTTACAAGGCCTTTGTACTACAGAAACCAAGTTACATATGCGAGAGTGCGGAAGACTCTGATAGTCGGTCTGTTATGGCCTTGCGCTCACCTTATTCTTCCTGCTACGGGCTTCGGAAAGTTTCGTTTGTACAGTAAAGGACTGTACTGTGCTCTCGATTTAACAACAGAGGAACCAAATAATAAGATTCTACTCTACGCCACGGTTGTGGAAGGAAGCCTAGTCACTTTGGCTGTGTTGTATTTCTGTACCACTATCTTGTGTTTTGTTAAGAGGAAGCGAAGAGTAAACAGTTTGCTCTCCGAACAGCAGCAGCGAGGAGCTGGCATCGAGAAAGTTAACAGGCAACAAGGAGGATTTGCACGATTAACTTTCGTGATTGTTGCATTGTTTTGTATTTGTTACGTTCCATTCTTGGTAAGTATTTAAATGGGGTAATTTTGACGAGCCTGTGTACGGCCGTGGGTAAGATTTTCATTCAATTACTGAAATTACATCCATAAACGATCGATGTAATGACATTTTTTCTTCCAGCCGACAGAAGTTGTTAGAAATTGCCAAATTTGTGTTTGATATTTTCTGCAACAAAATTAACTTTTTTCAACCGGCTAGCTGGCGTCATCAATTAAAATCACTCAAAAATGCAAGATGTAGCGATTCATCAACGTCTCTGAGGATGGTGAAACGAAATTCTGAGTAAGAATAACGAACAACAACCTTCAGCAATAACATGAACATATTGAGAGAACAAAATTTTGATTTCTAAGGATCGTCGATAAACTCCCTTGTTGTGTAAGAAAAGATGATGAAGTTTGAAAATTTTGTCGACGAAGGATCAGCACAAAACTCTACTAAAGATCTAGCAAGAAATAGGCCATGAGAAGACCTGTAGGACCCGCGCTTTTCTGTCCGCGTGAGGATTTGGGACCAGTCGGGTAAAAGTTTACCGGCACTGATAATGCTTTTAGTGCCAGATTCCAAAGCTTTCAATCACAGAAAAAAAAAGTGTGATAAACATGAAAGTGTAATTAACTGAAAGGTAATTTTAAACTTATGGTGTGGTCCGAATTCATTATTCTTTCAGTCTTACCGCGTGTTTATTCTGATACGAGGCCCACCCTCATACGACGACCACACTTACTTCTACTCTGAGCTATTGGCTCACGTCAACCCTCTTTTAAATCCACTGGTATACGTGCTTTGCAACAAACAATACCGTGCTTCTATCAAGGAGCTCTTCACAAAAAGTTACTGCAAAAGCGTGAGATGGTGGTTGGGCGAGAAATTTTACTTAACAGGTAAAAAAAAAAATGACGTTTATCACTACAGTTTGAGTCCACCTTAGTCGATTAGACCGCTCTTGCTATATCGGTCTCAAGGCTTAACGACCCACGAGAGAACGTCCCTGAGCCAGAAGGTCTTCCAAATCACGAGCCGAAGGCGAGTGACTCTCAAAGGTTTCGAGTGTCCATCATGTTTGATTAGATAAACAAAGTAGCCACTTTCCAAAACACAGGCATACACAGTCAAGTCTTTGATTTTCGCAGTTAGTTTTGCCCTAAGATTTTCTGAGATGAAAGTTTCCTCTTTCGTAGCCGCACAGACCGTGTATCCTAAAGTTGATTTGATGTGCCTAGACTTGCTCATTCAACGTTTTGTTAAAATTTGATAGCTGACAGTGAAGAAAATCAGCGAGCTTGAAACTTAAATTTCTGTAATGCGTACCCTATTTCAATGTTATTAACTCATTTTTAGTATATTTCCTTCATTTTTTTTAGATGAAAATACACGAAGCATAGAGTTGAGGAAGATGTCCGCGTTTTCTACAAGAACACAAAGTATTGTTTTGGAATAACAGGTCTTAGTTTCCCTTGGATCTGAATCGTATTTCTCCCATCTAGCTAGCATATAATTCCTTAAAATAGGTCAAGAAAATTTAGTGTTATATCAAGAAATCATTATCAAGCTAGCGCGCAGAACAAGCGTCAATTTGTTTCTGCATTTTTTCTCTCAGGCGAGCGGAGGCAAACACGCACGAGACACGCAAGAGGAAGGGGTCCCTCCCCTTACCCTCCCCTCCCACTCGTCTCGCGCTTGCCTGCGCTCGCCTAAAAATGAAAAGAGGATTCTACAGGCCACCATCAAGCTAATGAGTTAATTCATTCTCATTACTTGTTTGAAGGATAAAGTTTCCATATTGGAAATGCTACATGTCAACAATATCTGGGCCAGTCGGCTGAAGTTTTGACAATTTAAGTGACGGTAGGCCCCTTGGTTGACGGGGGTGGGCTAGTTGATTTCGGGTGAAGCCAATAACTAATGTTAAAGATCTAGGATTTTTGGTTTGTCTGTAGGTTGCTCTAAAAACTGTTTGTTTGCTTTCGGTGATTCCCAATAAAATATATGAGGTATTTTGTCAGAAGTCGCAACGCTGCAAACCTCTTCTTCATTCCAAATTTTCTCGACATAAACGGTTGGTTCGATTGTTTGCTCATTTTCAACGGTTTACTGTGGGTCTAACGTCAGTCAGCTGAAGATATTTGGAGTAACCCACGCGGTCTGGGGTTGTTAATCGCAGGCGAAGTTTTAAACTCATGGTTTATTAAGCCTTACACGAAAAGACAGCAAATGATATTGTAACTGATGATTTCCGCTGTGTCTGTTCTCTACTTTTGCTTTCATTAAGTGACTCCCAAAATTATTCGTAACTCGTGCATTCTTTTTAGGTGACGTAGAAGCGAGGATTTGGCGCTTTTCAAAGGCAAAAAGTTTGTAAGACTAGAAAAATCGGTCCAAGGTTTAACTAACAAAAACAAAATGGCTGACCTCGTTTCAATTGCCATGAATCTTTAAAAAAACACACCCAACTGACAAGAAACACAAGAAAGCTATTCTTTAAGATTAAACCCAAACATGATTAGAAAAAAATTATTGATTTGTTTCAAAAGCTCAGAAGCGAATTCAAATTAGAACAATTTATAACAGTGACGTCAAGTTTTCCGCTGTAGTCCCCATTTCACTTATTAGCATAACAGCATAACAGCATAACAGCTGCAGTGGATATTTCCAAAGTCTTGCTGTAAAGACTAGCGAAGATAACTAGACAGGTCGGAAACGCCGAGGTAAGATTTTGGTTGTGGTATATGTGGATAATCTTGCCCTCCTTATAACTCAGCGACACAAACGTTGGTGCAGTTACAGGTGTCCGCTAGTGAAGATCTTTTTTCTTGTTTAGCAGAATCCTTCTTTGAATAAATTCAAAAGTAAGTGAATTCTGTCTGCTCACAATATCAGCGCGGCTTTTAATTTTCTTTAGCATTTTAATTTTACTCACAATATTTAATGATCGGCGAAGAGTCACCGTAAAATTCTCAGACGGCAGAGATGTGAAATTGGCTTCGTTAGGTTTATTAAGATCCACGATGCCACATTAAATTTAAACGGGCATAAACCTGGTCGATGAATTTATTGAAAAGAGATCTGAGTTAACATGGCGAGGATTGTACAGACGATAGATTATCACTTTACAGGGTAAAGTTCTTATTTAAATGTAATTATATCCCATTTCAGCAGTCGTAACGCTCCAAATCTTCATTCCAAATTTCCCTGCATAAATGGTTGGTTTGATTGTTCGCTCATATTCAACGGTTTACTGTGGATATTTGCATAGTCTTGAAACGGAACTCTTGCTGTGAGTTTAGTATATCAGCTTTTCTCTTTGACTCTTAAGTTAAGGCTAGTAAAAAAAAAAAACTTAAAAGAAAGTCGGAAACGCCGAGGTAAGATTTTGGTTGTTGTATATGTAATTAAATGATTTTGCCGTCTCGATAGCTCGGCAACGCAAACATAGGTGCCTCTAGGCAAGTCCATAGATGCAGTGAGATATTTCTAGAATCCTGCATGTAGTTAACTAAAAAAAGAACTCGGGAACTCCGGAGTAAGATTTTGGCTGCAGTATGAGGACTAGTAGATGTGATTAAACTCGCCCTCCCGAAAACTTGGCGACATATACGTAGTTGCAGTTACAGATGTCCGCAAATTTATAATATTACCTCGTTTAGCAAACCCCTCTTTCATTGAAGACCATAAAAATAGTGGAATTCTGTCAGTTTACAATCTGGGGGCTGCCTTTAATTTTGTTTAGCAGTGTAGGTTTGCACAGAATTTTAATTATTCGGTGAAGAGTCGAGGACATTGATCTCATTCATAACTGTGCCCCGGTCAGGATACATTTTAATTTACGCATGCAGGGTCACGTTTACCGCAATCGTCTTTAGGGCGAGGAAAACTGCAGATGAATAGAATATTTAGTTACATCTCTTTTCACCAGTCCTAATACATCAAAGCAGGTGTTCATTGCACCTTTACCTACGTAAATCGTTGGATACATCGTCCGCTGATATTTCACGGATTATCGTGGATCTGACACAATAAACAGTTCTAAATGCTGGTAATTTAGTGTTAACAACTGAGTTGAAAACGTAAATTGGCCACCGTAAAAAGTAAAAAAGCTGACGTTTCGAGCGTTAGCCCTTCGTCAATTGCTCTGACGAAGGGCTAACGCTCGAAACGTCCGCTTTTTTACTTTTTATGGTGGCCAATTTACGTCTTCAACTCAGTTGTTAACACTAAATTACCTGCTATACTCTCCCACCGACGCAGCACCACAGTTTCTTCAGAAACTTATACCCCCTTAGTTCTAAATGCTGTTGGAGTATTTTTTGTTCACCAAAACTGACAGTTAGATTTTTCATTTGGGTAGAATTAAAGAAAAACCGCCAGTATTGACACATTGTCGTTCATTTTCTGTCAGCGAAACCAAGCTGCAAAGTTTCCCTTGCCAATATCGCAGAAATAACTCTAAGCTAGTCGTCCATTGGACCAAAATAAAATTTGCGTTTGCATTTTATTTAACTAAATTCAGAAAACCTGGGCAATAAGCTTTCTGAGGCGAAATTTCCAAATACCTGGATGATAAACCTTAGTAGTTTTTTTTGTGGAGGAATGCGTGACGTCATGAGTTCCGGTTTCGGTTTCTAATGAAGGGGAACCCCCTTTTCGCAACTTTCGGGGAAATTTCCCAGTTACGCTTGACATCTTTAATAAACTTCCACAGCGTATGAGAAGCCCACTATAGTAGTGCTCTAAAATGGGTCTTTTCTTGTTTGCATGTTCCTTTCACTCAGGCTTTTATAAGAACACTTTTGATTACCACGTGGTTCAACTTGAAAGACGAGGATCTAGTTGTAGCAGAAGTGTTTATTACCTTCGAATTCAGATAATCTTTAAACATTGTCGCAAATAAAGCTGTTCACGCATTTATCTTTGAGCGATTCCAGTAACATGTGTTAAATTAGCCCAAGTTTTTCTCAGAAGTTTTTTGAAGTACATATTTTTCTGTACTATAATTATATTCCGGCTTTGAGCGATGGTGTCAATTGAGTGAATTCGCTGTTGACCTACATTTAGCCTTGCTCAAAAGATCCTTAGGATAAACACTTGACGTCGCCCGGTCTGCGTTTGGATGTTAGTTTAGGGAGCCTTCAAGCCCCGAGGTATATCGCTTTTGCACTTAAGAAGTGATAATTCCCAATGCGCCGATCCACCTACACTCTTGTATATGTAGCTGTAGTACAGGGAGGAGAGGAGTTAAATTTGATTAAATTTCAAACTAAATTAACCCCCAATTACAGCGCGACTTGATGTCTTTTGATAGACCCATAGTACACGGGATGACGTCCCTTGAAATCCTCTTTGCGAAAATGGTTAAGGAGTCAATCTTTCCAAATAAGGCTTTGTCAGGAAGCGAATCTTGTGATCTTTTCCTTTTTCCGGTTGAAAAGTTATCTTCGTGCAACCGAAGTTCACTTGACAAACTCTCGGTACCAATGGGCGCACACGCACGCATAGCGTGTGCTATGGCGAACCTTAGAAACCGTATTAACCAGGGGAATCGTAAAAACTCTTCCTTGGATTAGAAACATTTACTTTACTTAACCTTTTTTCAAACATTTCGAACATTATGACTGATGTCGTTAGCTCTTTACACTTTTGTTGACCCATTAAAAATGTTCTTCTGTCTCCAAGTATTGAATCTTGTGCTCTTACAATCATATTTCTCAACCATTGGCCTGATTGTGGCTCATTAGTTTTGCTGTTAAGGACTAAAATAGCGTGTTTTTTCCTTTAGGTTGACAGGTCATGTGACTTATCTAACGCTAGTGCGTCAAGTTCGTTCAGTTCACTCTGAATAACAGAGGTTTGTTGTAGTTCATAATCCATGTTACCAACCCTGCGATAATAGCCCTAATTCACCGAATGAACCCCTCCTCTCTTACTCTCTAGGAGTTTCATTTTCAGTGAAAGCCTTGACGTTTCTTTCAGCAACTATTGTGGAATCCGGTCCTGATTGTTTTCACCTATTTATATCATTATCAGAAAAATAATTACGAAAAATCAACAAATGACGGGTGAACAAAGTAATGATTATGTTGAATTTTCGGCTAAAAGAGCCATTAATGTTGAAAGCCGTTCCTTATCGATTTACAACCAAAGCCTGTAAGATTGTGCCCAAAATTGATATTATGAAGTTTTAGAGTAATTGGTTCTTTTTTCAGTGATGGCGGAAGGTGGTAAGGTGAATGTTGATGATGGGAAATCTACATACGGTAAGAAAGAAAAACAGTTTAATTAAAGTCAACTTTCTGTTTGGAAAATGTCACATGATAATCATTTCCAGTTTGGGGCTTGATTGACAAAACACATTATTTGACAGTTTTTCTCAAGCATGATGATAAATAAAAGTAAAACCACAAGGGAAATACTCGTGAAAGGTCTTGTTTTTTAAGGGTAATG